ACATCTACATGCAACATAGACCAACGACAGATCTACACATATGACTTCTACTTATTTTTGATACAAATGGAACCCCATAAAGAAGTATTAAACTTATGGGATCAACTTCGTAACTTTCTGTCTTCTGAAACAATAAATGTGGATTTTGTTTCTTTACAAAACCTTCAGTTCGGTTCATCTATCAAAGAAAAAACTGTGCACTGTTTAGTCAATGTTCTGATTATTGTAACCAAATATTATATCCATAAATGTCTCTATGCAAAACGCTCCCTCTCAATCTCTGCTCTCAAAAATGAACTTTCCTTTTCTAAAAGTTGTCTGAGAAAGATGCAGAATTTAAATGCAGTAAAATTGTATCAGTTAATGGAAGATTTTCAGTTAGTATCCCCCTAACATGTCTCTTATTTTTTATCCTTCTTTTATTTCATAATTTAATTACCTTTTTCTTTTCATTATTTCTGTTAATTTATTTTCAATAATTTGTAGTCTTTTCTGAGCCTTTGCAATCAGTGTAAATTGTAAAAATTAGGAGTTGTGATTTTTGATATTTGTCTAATGTTTGTTTTTGACGTGTTGTGAGTTTTGTCATTGTTATTCTTATATAGTAATAAAAAAAATATGAAGGAAGAAGTTGCGGTGGCCCCCAGGAGCCGCTTAGCTGTCCAAACAGCTGCCTGTGGAGTTTTGAGTTTCCTGCACTAAACAGTCAGAAAATGAGAGTAAAGAAACTGAGCAGGACCAAAACTTTATGACTGCAGACCGGAGGTTCTGTCACTAATAACGGGGGACATATTACCGTTTATATTTTGTGAATAGAATATTACTATTCTGTATTTATGTCCACCGGCGAAATACCAGCTAATATTTACGGAGTCCTGTAGACCAGTGTTTTTCAACCTTTTCTGAGCCAAGGTACATTGTTTTAATTGAAAAAATCCCGAGGCACACCACCAACCAAAAATGTAGGCAGATACTCTGTAGCCGCCTATAGTATATACATTCTTATCAAAGTGTCTTGAATAGGAATCAAATTAACATGTCCACTTCAGAAATACACCTGAACACCTGAACAGCCACAACACTGTGGTGTGATGCATGAATGTTACTACATTCATGCATCACTAATTCTGTTGTTTTAATGTAAAATGCTCTGTACCTGCTGCCATCTAGTGGTAAGAAAATGACATGATTATGCCGCTAGTCATTACTACAGCAGAGACACTCAAAGATGGCATCATTTACAGATAATTAATTCGTTTTCAAAAAATCTTTTAAGACCAATTACCGTATTTTCCAGACTATGAGCGCACCATACTATAAACCGTACCTTCA